AGGGTCGTAAAAGAGAGATGGATTGGGAGTTTGGGGTTAGCAGATGCAAACTATTACATACAGGATGGGTAAACAACAAGATCCTACTGTATAGCACAGGAAACTGTATTCATATTCTGTGACAAACCATAATGGAAGAGGAAAAAATTTAGCCAAATGGCAATGTGATTCTGAGTGTGCTTCAGAGGGCTTTAATAGAGGAGGAAGGCTTCCTGGCACCATTCTGAAGGAAACCATGACCATGAGTTGGCCTTCAGAAGTCAGGCTGGCATTCCTAGGGGAAGGGACACCATGAGCCACGGGGAGAGGACAAGATTGGCAACCAGTGCATGAGCATCAGCCCATGGAGGAAGGGTTCAGGGAGGGAGATGCAGTGAAATGGAGAAATGGGTGGAGCCACTGCACTGAAGACTCTTGGTACTTTTGCTGTCTTTACAAGAAGACGGAAACTTGCTAGTATACGGTATACATAAATCAAGAGACAAAAACTCAGTGTCTGTAGGGGCTGAATAGGTAGGAGTGAATAAGTGGGATGGATATAAACACCAGGAATCATGAGGACAGGACAAACTGGTGAGTGTGCGTCCTCCCTAAGACTTTTTAAGAAGGTTGGAAATTTAGGGTCTTCCCTATTGGTCCAGTGGTCCATCCCCAATGCTGGGGATCTAGATTAAACCCCTGGTAGGGGAACTGAGAGCACAAGTGCCACATAGCAGATAACTATTACTGAGCCCATGCACCACAACTGCTGAAGCCCACTGGCTCTGGACGCACTCTGCAACAAGAGAAGCCCTCAATCCGCAGCCAGAGAGTAGCCCCTGCTGGCCACAACGCGACGAAGACCCTGCAGAGTCAAAATGATTGTTTTTAAGTAAGAAAAAAAAAATGTTGGAATTTTAGATTTCTATGTGAGAGCTCCTGATTTTTTTTAATTAACTAAATTGTTTTTATTAACATCATGCCAGCCAAACAAAACATGGACGGTTAGATTCTGCCCAAGTTGCTGGTTTGAAACTTCAGCTATAAACGGTGAGGCTGATTTCAGAAAGAGCTTTGGAGAGCCAGCAAAGCTAGAGAGCAAAGCTGGGGCTTCCCTGGTGGTCCAGCAGTTAAGAGTCTGCCTACAATGCAGGTGGCACAGGTTTGATCCCTGGTCAGGGAAATAAGACCCCACAGGCCTCCAAACAACTAAACCTGCATGCCATAACTACCGAGGCCCACTCTCTGATGCTCTTGTGCCCCCTGTATTGGAAGCACAGAACCTTAAACACTAGACCATCAGGGAAGCCCCTATCATTGCTTTTTGTGGTGGGAATAATTAAGATATAGTCTCTTAGCAAATTTGATGAATACAGTATTGCTGTATATATTCACTATACTATGTATTAGACCTCCAAAGCTCATTTATCTACCAGTTGCAAGCTCGTATCCTTAAATAGCGCACACAGTCCCCCATATCCTAACCCATGGAAACCACTGTTTTACTCACTATTTGTGCAAGTTTGGCTTTTTTATAATAGGTTCCACATACAAGTGATTCAAGTCGTATTTGTCTCTCTCCATCTGACTCATTTAGGCTAATGTCCTCAAGGTCCATCCATGTTGTTCCAAATGGCAGGATGTCCTTCTTTCTCATGGCTGAATAATATTCCACTGTATATATACACCACATCTTCTTATGCATTCATCTGTTGGTGGATGCTTCAGTTGTTTCCATATCTTAGCTTTTGTGAATAATGCTGCAATACCCATGGGAGTGCATGTCACTCTTCACTATCCTGTTTTCATTTCATTGCCCTTGGGCATATACCCAGAAATGAATTTGCTGGGTCATATGGCAGTTCTATTTTTGATTTTTTGAGGAACTTCTATGTTGTTTTCAGTTGTGGCTATAGCGATTTACATTTTACCCACTGTACACAGGGGTTCCCTTCCTTCCACCTCCTCACCAACACTTGTCTCGTCTTCTTAATGAAAGCCACTCTAACAGCTCATTTTGGCTTTGATTTGCATTTCCCCGAGGATTAGTGATGCTGATCATCTTTTCAGGCACCCACTGGCCATTTGGATACTCTCTCTGGGGGAAAAAAGTCTATTTATTCTCTGCCTATTTTTTTAAAATCAAATTGTTTGGGGGTTTCTGTTATTTTGGATACTAACCCCTTATCAGATACATCGTTTGCAAATATTTCTCCCGTCCTATACATTGCCTTTGCATTTTGTTGATTTTTTTCTGTTGCTGTGCAGAGGCTTTTAAGCCTGATGTGGTCCCACCTGTTGACACTTGCTTTTGTTTTTTGTGCTTTTGGTATCACATCCAGAGTATCTTTGCTAATGCCAAGTTAAAGGAGCTTCTTTTCTGTTTTGTTCTAGGAGTACCAGGTCTTACATTTAAGTCTTTTTGATCCATTTTGAGTTAATTTTTGTAAATGGTATAAGATAGGGGTCCAGTTTCATTTTTCTACATGTGTTTATACATTATTCTCAGCATCATTGTTGAAGAGACCATCCTTTCTTCATTGGGTGTTTTTGGTTTTCCTGTCAAACATCAGTTAACTGTATATGCTGGTAGAGAGTGGGGTTAACTTTAAGCTCAGAATTTTCCTTCTTAATTCATGCTGTTGTGCTTCAGCAGCACGGCTACTGCTGCAGGTAGCACACAGATGGTTTCTTATGTACTCAGAGTGTTCTCTGAGGGGCTCAGAGAGACCCAGGACTGGTTCCAGTCACCCTCGGCACCCTCTGTGTTCAGGCCTGAGAGCCAGACCCGAACACACAACAGCTGGGAAGGTCTTCAAGCATTCTGAGGCAAAAAACAGAAACAAGAGCATGAAGTTCTTTTTTTTCTCTCTCTTTTTAAAATATTGATGTGTTTATTTGTTTACTGTTTTGGCCATGCCTCATAGCATGCAGGATCTTATTTCCCTGACTGGGGATCCATCTGTGCCCCCTGCTGTGGAAGCCCAGAGTCCTAACCACTGGACCACCAGGGAATGCCCTCGAAGTTGTTTATTTTATCAAATTCCTTTCCCAGACGACATAGAGGATGACAAAGTATGCCTTCCATTGACACACAGAGATGCCACCACCACACGCTTTTTGATACACACGTGCGCGCGCACACGTCAATGGCCTCTGTGAGCATTTGTTTACATCTCTTAGAAACACTGCATCAGTTTGCTAGGGCTGTGTCTTACGCCATTCAGGCCACTATAACAAAATTACCATAAACGATGTGGTTTGTTAATAACCAACACTAATTTCTCACAGCAGAAGAGGCTGGAAGTCCAAGATCAAGGCACCAGCAGGATCAGTGTCTGATGAAGGCCTGCTTCCGGCTCACAGACAGCATCTTCTCACGGTGTCCTCACAGGGCAGAGGGCTGAGGGAGCTTCCAGGGTCTCTCGTATAAAAGGGCTCTACCCTCTTGACCTGATTATCTCCCAAAGGTCCCACCACTAATACCATCTCACGGGAGGTTAGGTTTCAATATCTGAATTTCGGGAAACACACACATGCAGTCCATAGGACCAGGTGACATCTACCACTTGAAATTCCTAGAAAGGAAAGCCAGCCTTTCGTTCCACAGTTAAACATAGGCTTAAATGCAAATAAACAACACTCTTTTCCTATGAAACTCAACCTCAAAGTAAATAAAAGATAATAATTATACGTGGCATCTGTTTTTGTGTCTTCAGGCACCTTGATGTATGCTCATCACACTCACAGCTGGAGGACCCCCAAAAGGAAATACACGCTCACCATTCTGGAAACCAGAGTCAGTGCTAGGTTTCTAGAAGCCTGACCAGGGACAGTGGGCCCTGAGGATTGGCCTAACTGACCCCTTCCAACCACACCCTCCAATAAGGGGAAAGACACGTGGGTACACCAAGCTCCTATCCAGACCCCACTGCCATGGGGGATGGCAGAGTAGCTGTCTCTGCTCTCTGCCTGCCCGCCTGGTCAATGAAATGCGGATAACAGACCTGATGTCTCTCATTGGTATTCTTGAGAAGTGTTAAGAATCAATTAAAGATGTGTCTAAATGCTTGATGGAAAAAAGAGTAAGCTACAGAGAACATGACTTGAGCTGATGGTGGTAGGATTTGGTTCCAACATAAGGAAGGATTTCTGGGGAAATTTTCTTCCCTCTGGTCTTCCTTCACTCTTTCCATGAATGGTTCTTGGGTCTTGAGTGCCTTGTGCTAAATGCTGGGATCAAAATGACTGAAACAGACAGCCCCACCCCTGCAAGTAATCAGTTCACTGGGCCACCTGATCCCCCCAAAGTAAGCCCACCACACGTAATCACAGGGCAGCTGCTCATGTGCAGAGGGCCCAAGGAGGCACTGCTGTCTTCCAAGTGACTGGAAATGAAGATCACGTGTCGTCTATTGGCGATTGCTCAGAGAGGCAGGCTAGATGCTTCCTCGGGCCCAAGGCAGGCCTCTGATTCGTTACTGTGAATAGGATCGTAGGTCCCTGGGCTGGACAAATTCTAGAGGTCAGATCAGGAAATTGAGGACACTCAGGTGGGGACCAGGCCTCCCACAGTCCCTCAGAGCAGACTAGCATCCCAGGCCCTCTGTCTAAACAGTCGATTTTCCCTGCCTAGCAATTGAATTTATGAGGTTCTTTTATGGTAATGAGTTGGAACCACGTGCACACACACTGAAATTCAGCACAAATCACCATGAGAGCTGAAAAATGCTAATCTGCCTCCAACATCTCCCCACCATTCTCCCAAAACTACCTGCTCCTACAAGGTTGCGGAGGGTTAATTATTGCTGCAGAGGAAATGGCACTGATTTGCATCAGCTTCCCTTGACTGGAACCAGTCAATGTTAGTCCTGTGGGAACAGGCTGAGGTTAACCTACGAGTCCCACAGCTGACGGGTGGGAGGGGCTCGGCTTTGCCCCAGGACACCGCTTCCCTTGATGGATCACCTGCGGTGCCCTGGCTGCCTCAGGGCCCTGCGGTGATCCAGTTACCTGCTCACCTGTACTTGACACATCCGATACTCCGGAGCCTTCCCACCTGCTCCTCGTGGCGGCAGCAACATGAGGACACAAGCTAGGGACCTGGCATTTCATTCGGTCTCTTTGAAAACTTCCATCTGTACCTAGTGAACTCATCAATAACCATCAAAGCCACCTTTCTTCCTCTCCAAGTTCCAGTCTTCCTATAATGACTGGCTCCCAGTGGAATTTCAATTTTTGGCTGGCTAGTGCAGGTCGGGGCCTCCCAGGTGGCGCTAGTGGTAAAGACCCCTCCAGCTAGCGCAGGAGAGTAAGGGTTTGATCCCTGGGTGGAGAAGATTCCCTGAAGAAGGGCGTGGCAACCCACTCCCATATTCTTGCCTGGAGAATGCCATAGACAGAGAAGCCTGGGGGGCTACGGCCCATAGGGTCGCAAAGAGTCGGACGCTAAGCGACTTAGCACAGCACAGTGCAGGCCAGGCCCACTTCTGAAGTCAGGACCAGTTACCAAACAGCATCACTTGCATTCAGGGAGAGTGTAAAGAAATCACTGAATGGCTCAGGCCTCAGGCTCTGAAGACCTGAGTCCTCTACTCTCATATTGCAAGGAATTTGAAAGATCGAGGCCTGTTTGTCCGCCTCTGCGTGTAGCAGAGCACCGACTAGTTCTGAGAGAAGGAAGCACCCTAATCCGTACATTGATATGCAAATGTGTGTTTACCCAGGTGAGGTGCCTGGTGAGAGGCACACCCGGGTGTGGGTTCCATTCGGAGCTTCACCTTTATCCCCGGATTCCTGTGTCTTGCCTTTGAAAGAAAGTTCTGTTGCAAACATGGCCCATCTCCAAAAATCTTTCTCTGAGCCATGTCTTAATCCCCTCATAACTAATTATGTCTGTATTCACATGTGTGTGTACATGCGTGCTAAGTCACTTCAGTCGTGTCTGACTCTTTGCAACCCTATGCACTGTAGCCCACCAGGCTTCTCTGTCCATGGGAGTCTCCAGGCAAGAACACTGGAGTGGATTGCCATGCCCTCCTCCAGGGGATCTTCCCAACCCAGGGATCGAACCCATGTCTCTTAAGTCTCTTACATTAGCAGAGGGGTTCTTTACCACTAGTGCCACAGGGGAAGCCCTTCATACATGTGGATTGTCACTGAGTGACTTGATTATAATAAGGACACCAAGAGTTTCATATCTGGAGAGCACCCTCCCTGGAAGATGCTTGATGGTGCTATCTATGTTCATACATAGTTCATACTCCCAGGTGGTTCAGTGGTAAAGAATCCACCTGCCAATGCAGGAGACATGGGTTTGACCCCTGGGTCAGGAAGATTCCCTGGAGAAGGGAATGACAACCGACTGTAGTATTCTTGCCTGGAAAACTCCATAGGCAGAGGAGACTGGTGGGCCACACTCCATGCAATCAGAAAGAGTCAGACAGACTGAGCACACATGTTCATACATAAGTAGCATGTATTTTGTATTTATCGATGCCACTATTTTCTCCCCAAAAGGTGCTGAGCAACTCTGTGCTGATAACCCTGCTGAGGGCCCCAGGATCTGATCTCAGAGCACTTAGTTCACTCTGTCGTTGGGTCTCACAAGCTCTGGAGGGCAGAACTGAGCCTGTCCTGTTTCTATACCTGGGCTGAGCGGGGCAGCTGGCTTAGAGTGCTCAGTGGCCCTGGGGCAGGGTGCTTCCCAGGTGGCATGGGGTAAAGAATCCACCTGCCAATGCAGGAGACTAGGGTTCCATCCCTGGGTCGGGAAGATCCCCTGGAGGAGGACATAGCAACCCACTCCAGTATTCTTGCCTAGGAAACCCCATGGACAGAGGAGCCTGGTGGGCTGCAGTCCATGGGGTCGGGTCACAAAGAGTCAGACACAACTGAGTGACTCACGCACACACACGGTAGCACTGGGGCAGAAATGAGTGGGTGAAGGTGTGTAGGAATGGGCAGGAAAACAAAGTCTAGCTCGTAGAGAGAGAGCTGGTCATGGGAGGAGGCTGCAGCCCCCAGAGAAACCCCACCAGGTAAGGACAGTCAGCAGAGGGAGGCCGCTGCCTGTGGCCACCGGAACGTGCAGAGAGAGGCAGATATCTGCTGAGGAATCTGGCACAAAACATGTGGCACCTTGTATGATTAGAATCTAGGGATCTTCCTAGGGCAAAAAAGGAGAACTTGGAAAGTGTCAGCAATGCCCAACCTGGGTAGCTAATGCCAGGAGTTACACACACTGGCGCCAAGGTCTAGTCTCTGCAGCTGTCACTCAGAACCAGGACGATGAAGGCCAACTGCAGTGCGGGGCTCAAGTCCCCTCACTGATGGGCGCATGTGTCAAATGCTGCCCGGGGTGGGGGGCCATCTGAGCCACACCCCGGCTGCCGCGGCAGCTCCGGGGGGACTTGTGCCCACAGCTGATGGCCATAACCATCACTGGGCTCCCCTCGTGTGACACCGCCTGCACCTGCTGGCCCCTCTCAATCCCCACCTCCACTCCCACTCATGCCCAGGCCCCATCCCCCATTCCCACCCGCTCCCACCAAATCCCCACCAGCCATTCCCTCCCAGGAGTTGCTGATGAATGTGCTGAATCAGAACAGAACCACTCCATAGCCTTGACTCTGTGGCTCCATCACATTGTCCAACCTTAGATGACCCCAAACAGCACTGTTATAATACCTTCCCCAGCCGTCGCCCCCATAAAGGAACACAGCTGCTAACGTACTAGACCACTGTCAGCTGAAGCCACGTCCCTGCCAGCGCATCGACCTTTATAAACAGCGTTGTGCACAGGCTGGGGGCACACATGTCCCTCGTGCGTGTAGACGAGATGCAAGCCCACATGCCTGATGGCAGGAAGAGAACTCTGTAGCAGCCCCCAGGTTCACAGAAGGCTCTGAGCTGCGTTATCCTAGCAAATCCTTGTCTCCTTTAGCAAACTGAAGCTCGGAGAGTTTCAGCATCAGTAAATGACAAAGCCAAATCAGGCTCAAGTCTTCTGACCAAAAAAGGCGATGTGAGAGCAGTCGGCCACCCCAGACAGGGGAGCTCTGTGATGTCTCTTGGGGCCCTGCCAGCTGTTTCTCTTTGAACTGTATTAGCCTTGAAGAGGCCTGAGGACCAGGACCAAGGACTTTTGTTTGTACTTTCCTAGAATATTTGCCAACAAAGGTTTGCGTTACTTTGTGACAAAGGTCCATATAGTCAAAGCTATGGTAGTCATGTACAGATGTGAGAGCTGGACAGTAAAAAAGGCTGAGGACTGAAGAATTGAGGCCTTCAAACTGTGGTTCTGGAGAAGACTCTTAAGATTTTCTTGGACAGCAAGGAGATCAAACCAGTTAATCCTAAAGGAAATCAATCCTAAATAGTCATTGGAAGGACTGATGCTGAAGCGGAAGTTCTAATACTTTGGCCACCTAACGTGAAGAGCTGACTCATTGGGGAAAAAAAAAAAAAAAAACCCGATGCTGGGAAAGATTGAAGGCAGTAGAAGAGGGAGGCATATGGTGAGATGGTTGGATGGCATCACCGACTCAATGGACATGAGTTTGAGCACATTCTGGGAGATCGTGGAGGACAGGGAAGCCTGGCGTGCTGCAGTCCGTGGGGGTCACAAAGAGTCAGACACGACTGAGCAACTGAACAACAACGAGAAGAATATTTGCAGTCTCAGCTCAACATGTTTATTGAGAATCTAACATGCTATATGTTGTGCTAGAAACTGGGTTGTAGCAAAACAGGTCCTGCCCTGAGAACAGTTACAGTCCCACAGAGGAGAGCGGCAGCAGGAAGGCAGATAACGACAACACAGTCACAGGGAAAATGAGAGAGGTCTCCTCGCAGTTCAGAGGAGGGTGACTGACCCTGCCCTAGGGAGCGGGCTGTCTTAGGAGGAAGTGGTGGTGATCCTGAGTGAGAATCTTGCAGGATGAATAGGAGTTTGCCAGGAACCTGAGAATTATCCCCGGCAAAGAGAATCATACTTAATCCAGGCCATGGGCATGTTGTTTAGTCGCTCAGTCGTGTCCAACTCTTTTGCGAGCCTATGGACTGCAGCCCGCCAGGCTCCTCTGTCCATGGGATTTTCCAGGCAAGAATACTGGAGTGTGTGGCTCTTTCCTTCTCCAGGGGGTCTTCCTGACCAGCATGCAGGTGCTGGTCATTACAAGCTGCTCAGTACTTCTAGAGCATGGAGTATCAGGAAATGGGGCCAAAAATATAAACAGGGTCCAGGTTTGCATGCCAGGCCAAGAGCTTGTATGTGACCCACAACTAATCAGCAGTCATGTAAGCACATACATAGATACATACAATGGAATATTACTCAGCCATAAAAAAGAGTGAAACAATGCCATTTGCAGCAACACGGATGAACCTAGAGATTATCACACTAAGTAACCTAAGTCAGAAAGAGAAAGACAGGAACTTCCCTGCCGGTCCAACAGTTAAGATTCCACACTCGCAATGCAGGGGTCCTGGGTTCAATCCTTGGTCAGGAAACTAGATCTGGCATGCCACAATCCTGCATGTCACAACTAAGACCCAGCCCAGCCAAATAAATAAATACATAGTAAAGTTTTTAAGAAGAAAGACCAATACCATATGATATCACTTATATGTGGAATCTAAAATACGAAATAAATGAATTAACCTATGAAACAGAAACAGACTCACCATCAGAGAAGAGACTTGAGGTTGCCAAGTGGGAAGGGAGGCGGGGGAAGGCTGGACTGGAAATCTGGGATTCGGAGATACAATCTACTATGTGTAGGATGGATAAACAAACAGGTCCTGTGATAGAGCACAGGGAACTATATTCAATATCCTGTGGTAAAACATATGGGCAAAAAAGACCAGGAGTTCTGGCCATAGTCCCACTGTCAACAGTTACTCTACTCACAGTTTGGAGTTTCAAAGGAGAAGCAAAGAGACTAAGAGATCAGCTATTGTCATAGTCCAGGCAAGAGAGATGTGGGCCCAGTGGGGCTGCCAAGCGCTGAAGGGCAGACTGACCCAGGAGACAGGAGTCAGAAAGTAAACCCAACCAACAGACTAGAACAGGGGAGGTGAG